AGTAGAATTTATAAAACAGAAGTTGCTAAGATACCTTTCAGTCTGAATTGACAATAGATTGGAGGAATTTTTAATTAATTGTCACTTTTCAATCCATTTTACTTTCAAATTTTTCAAGTCAAAACCTTAAAAAACTTGTTCAATACTTTGGGGAAATTGCTTATATTCTTTCTTGCCATTAGTGAGATGAGGTTAAACAAACAAAATAAGACTTACTCAATAAAGAAACCCAGGCCACCTGTTAACTCCTGTTTCCAGTCTTCATGCTAGTCTTATCTTACCAGCTGTTGCAGATGTGGGACTAATATCAGTTTTTTCATCTAGCCCTGAGTAAGAAAGCAAATGATACATTATTGCTATAATTCTTACATTTAGGTGTGAGGCGTTGGATATAAATTGTGTGAAATTAGAGCCTAGTTTCATATCTAAACTGGCATTTTTCTTGTGGTGTGTACTCAACACAGTTGAAGGAATGGGGTAAAGGGATTCCACAGGTCATCAGGTGCACTGGGATTCTTTTCCCTGCAGCCTGTGATGTAACCAAGCCGTGATTTATGGAAGGATCGTGACCACAATTATATCTGCCTCTAGTAATGTTCTTCTATCACGCTTCTGTCCCAAATGAGGGTCCTGCAAAAAGCTATAAAACTGTCAAACACACCCTGATTTATGCTGAAATTCTGTTCTACCCCTTCTCGGCCATGTGTGTATCTATAGAAGTTTGTGTCAGCTTTTTTTTTTTTTTGTGCGTGCATGAAGTAGCCACCTCCACAGATTTGTTAAGGGTCCAATTATGATGATGATTTGTTCCTTGCAATGGTTTTACTAAGATGACCTAATTTCCTCACTGAGTGTGGGGAGAGAAAAAAAATGCTGGTTCTTTTTTCTTCTTCTCCTCCTTCTCCTCACCTCTTCCTCTTTTTTTCTTTCTTCTCCTTGTTCCTCTTCTGCTGCCATGATGCTGCATTCATCCGCACGGCAACAAAATACTGTTGTCATGCATTCCAGCCCCGGCAGCATGACACAGCCCCTTAAACCCTTGTCACTCCCTCCACCACACACATCCTGCATGCTTTGTGAAACAGTGATCCTGCCAGGTTAAAGCTTTGCTTCTGCATAATGACATTTCAATGCTGCACACACACAAACACATGCAGTGACATTCCACTGACTGAGCTGAGTGACAGTGCCCTACAACAAACATTTGAAATATGCCATGCCCTTATACACATAACTCTGTCTGCATCTGTCTCTGTGTTTCTGACCCATTCACTCTGTTATAGAATTTATTTCCACAAAGAAGAACTGATCTTTTCCTAGCCTTTAATTTATTTTGAAAAGAGTTTCTTCGTCATTTATTTCCCTTCCTCTTTAGACCTCTAGATTCTCACCCCTCACCCAGCTTGGCCTGGCTGGGTCAACCTTTCACTCTCTCTGTCTTAAGGTCAGCTAATCAGCCAAACTACTTCTTCTCCATATTCCCAAACACACAAGCACATTTCATGCATAGGCCGACTGAGAGCACCTCCCTAAGAAAATAGAGGACAGCTACAAACTTGGAAAAGTGCAACAGGCAGAGCAGCAGGAGTGTTTGCAAGTGTGTGTTTCATGCATGTGTCGCTGGCAGTGATTGCTTGTTTGACAAGTGACAAAGGCGATGACAGGGTCGTCTGCCTTTCCAGGAACCCTCCCCATTGCCACCACACTCTATGTACACACAAACCCTTATCCCTATTCAAAGCCACTCACTCATGTGGTAATGTCTCTATTGTGACAGGCTGAACGCTTTATGGGCAACAGCTTGGTGCTGGCATTTGGGCAGAGGCATTAGTGTGTATATGAGCATGTGTGTGAATGTGCTTGAGTGTGGTGTGGCTGTGTCTGGTTCATCCACTGTGGAATTTGCCCATCTACAGCTCAAAGAATTGGAAGCTCAACTTCTTTCCTCCATACCAGTGACAGATGAGCAGAGAATTGCAGGACAGGGGATGGGAAGCAGAGGCCGCCACAGGTGCTAATATTAAAGGATGGGACTGCACACACACACACACACACACACACACACATACACACATACAGTAAACAGTATATGCATAGTACTTTACTTTTACTTTCTGACTGCCATCATCTCAGTTAAGCAGGCAGAGCAATTTGTCATGTCAGAGAGCCCTCGTGCTGCCATACAACAAAAGGTGATAGGGAGTGTGGGAAAGGGCTGGTGCACAAAGCCTTCCCTGCCCCCGTCTGCTTCCCTGTCTGGTTGCATACGCAGGCTGAGAGCTCCTGCAGAATCCCCCCCACCATGTAGTCTCCAAGGCCTCCATCTGCAGAAACACAACCAATCTCCATAAACGCAGAGCCATACTTCCATATTCCAGATTTTGTTAATTTTGGTGCAGTATACTGCAGCTCAGGGCGCTGACATCGCCAGGAGTGAGGTTATGATTTTTACTCTGAGCACATTCTAAAATGTACAAGTTCATATATAGTATGCACAAAATATCTCAACATCAGGTCTCTAGAGCCCCAAAAACCCCTTTAGCACAGTCTAGACAGCCATTCAGCCAGGGAGATAGAGGGAGGAAGAGACAGAGGGAGGAAGAGATCAAAACAGCTATTCAGGGAGGAAAATCTGCCAGCCTGTGCCAACTCTACCCACAAAAAAGAGATTGGGAAAGAGAAGGGGGATCTTCTTGAAACCAATGCCAGCTATGCAGACAAAGAGGCAAATAAACAAACAGACAGAGCAAGAGAAAGGCTGAAACAGGAGGACACTGACACTGTTCTTCTCATCTCAAGTGTCTTCTCATCTGGGCTGTATTTGTGCACCCAATTTTCTCTGGTTGCTGAGACCAAAATGTTGTGGACACACACACATGCACACACACATAGACAAACTGCTGACTTGTAGGCAGAGTGAATGTTGTCTGGCATATAGTTGAGCTCAGAGGGAGGATATTTACTATAAGTTTGTTGGAGAGGAACAGTCAGTGACTTACCATCTCAGTCGTGCGCTCACACAGAGGAATGATTTAAAAATGAAAAATGGCATTGTCTTCCTGTATCACATTCCTGTCACGGCTGACCTGAGAAAAAGTTAACAATACACAATTAAAAAGAATGGCTGAGCATTCTTGTGGAAGCTCAGTATTCAAGTTAAATGATGTTTGACCAGTCATTTGGCTCCAAACAGGGGCTATATCAGGTCATGCTCTTATAAATCTTCATGGCACTTTAACAAGCAACATCATTTTCAGACCCGAACATTACCTAAAATGCAGGCTATCCTGTTGACTCATAACCACTGGTACAGGTAAATATACTCCAGGCCCTCTGTTATTTTGCAGTAAACAAGATGGCCTTCAGTGTTATGTTGGTCCAGCTGCACCACTCATCCTGTTGTCATGAAGAAGACATAACACACCATGATAAGTTGCTTTCTACACTCTCCTCCCTATCCTACTTATACTATATCAACTAGAAGAAAAATATACAAGTAGCAACCCCTCTGGCGCCGCAGATGGCTGCCTCGGTTCCTTGTGTGTGTAACATACTTGGCCAAATAAAGGTGATTAATATCTGTATTGTCAGCGATCCCAGTATAAGTTCTGTGTGGGTGTGAGAATGCATGCAAGTTTACACAGTCATCATGTGGACACACTCTCAGTGACTGGTGTTTTGTTGGCAAGTAGCACCACCTGAGCAGCTGAGATGAACAATAGCTTGAACAACCCCTGGGAAGCACAAGGTCATTTGCAAAACATTTTCCCTTTAAATGAGAAACTACTGAATCTTCACCCCACACAGTTGTCTTGAGTTTACCAGGAACAAACGAGAGCACGTTGGGGCATTTATGTTATTTGCTTCATTTGATGTCACATCATAACACAGGTGTTAAAAAACAAAAGGGATACATGGACAAAGGAAGGATGAAGTCATCCTGAGTAACTGGTGTTTGCCCAGACTGTGACAGTCTATTGGCAGAGGGAGGAGAAAGAGATGCCCAGCTCAGAACTTTATCACTTCCTGCTTGCTCAGTGCCTTAAATCAATAGAATGGCTGAGATCAAACACAATATGAACAGGGATTTAGGCTTCACTGTAATACATATGGATCACATAGATCTGCTGTCATCAGGTTTCTGCTCTTATTATGATCTGGAGTCGCCGACTCCTCAGTGACAGATAATCCATGTCCAGCAGTGGCTGAAACTCTGTAGAGCATCATCTGCTGAGGGAAAATCTCACAGTCCCCGAACAGGAATGTTTTGGCATGTCACAGTGGGAGGAGCATGGGTGTAAATAATAAAATTAATGAGGGCTGAATTCCACTTGCTGCTTTAGTTTCAGCATCTTACTATTTTGCTTGCTGACTTGCTGTTGCACTGAATATATTTACATGGCTACATTTTAAATACAGAGCAATTATGATTGTCTGGAAATGAGGGAATGTACAGATCCAGATGTTCATTAATATCAGTAGCAGAAAGTAAGTAAGTACATTTACTACAGTACTGTACTTAAGCACAGTTTTGCGCAGATTAATACAAAAATTATAGTAAATTCATAAGCTACCCAGAAGTAATTCAAATTAAATGCATATAAGCTCATTAAAACTAGATCCTATTTTACCAGCTGCAACATTAAATGTAATGAACACAACAATGCATCAATAATTATAATCAAATCATATGATATACATTAATGCTAACTGCATAATGACTACTTTTACTTTGAGCACTTTAAATATATTTTGATGCTAATACTTTTGTATTTTTACTTAAGAACCATTTTCAGTGCAGGACCTTTACTTGTAACAGAGGATTTTTACACTATTGTCTTGTTACCTTTACTTAAGTAAAGGATCTGAGTACTTCTTCCACCACAGAATAATATTAATATAAAAATACAGTATACTTGGGCGTTAAACAGATAATGCAACATGTATCAGAGTTAATATGGGTCCTACTAGGATTCACTAAAAGTTACTTGTATCCTTCTTCTTCCACATTATTCCATATTGTAGCTTAGGGAGATGATCACATTTTTTGACTTCTACTGTACATGTAGACTAATAGATAAGAAAAAAACCTGTTAAATAATTTCCAGGGTAAACTATCCTTAGCATCATGGTGTCTTCCAGTTATTAAAGCTGCAGTATTGTAAGTACATGCTTGTCTATTTAAAAGGTAGCAAGTAGAGATACTGGGATACACAAGATTATTGCCTTTACAGGAAAATGGCAGCTCAGTTTCCTGCTGTGCTGACTTAATTCAGTAAAGTGGAGTGCAGGTGTGGAGAAAGTCAGGATGGCAGACCAACACAACACACGCAAAGTGTCTGAAAGCTGCAGAAACCCTCTCATGTTATGTAACATTTGATTCAAAGTTAAAATCAAAAATATTATTCAACTGTAAATTTAAAAATGATCTCAGTATGAGTTATTCTCTAGACTCTCCTTCATACACACAGACTAAATGATGTACAGAGCAGATACAGATGTTGGTGTGATTTGTCACCGTCTCTCTTGGCACGGACAGGCCGGCACTAATGGGCAGACACTCTTTGTGTGCTAAACAAATTAGCTCCATTACTAAGAGACAGAGAGCAAGGGCGAGAGGCACAGAGAGAGAAAAGGAAAGGTTCACGATAAGGGATTTAAAGGAAGATAAATGTAGTGAAGGACAAACATAAAAAGGACGAGGAGCAGGAAAGAGATTTATGCAGCCCATACAGTGCAATGAAAAAAAAAAAAAGAGAAGCCGTCTTGCTGGACACAGTTTTGTACGTGTGAGTGAGTATGTGTGAGCCTGGCTAGACATCTAAGCACTTCGAGCCCTCGTGAGAGAGGGTAAATGTGCATTATCGTCCATCCATCACTCACTCATTACTCATTCACTTACTTACAGTCAGACCCACACAAGAAGCACATACATGAATGCTGATACGCCCTAATACGTGCACTTAACACCAGGCTGGATATAAGGGAGACACATTTATCTCTATGCAACTGTGTGGAAGCAATGCTGAGTGCATCTGCAAATGTGTGTATGTGTGCAGGAGCAAATGTGATCCACCAGGTTTCAGGTCAAAGCAATTCTCTGTCAAATGATTGGTTGATAATCTGATTGACAGACAGACTCTCTCCTCTTTTCTGTCTTCTCTTCTCCATCTCATCATTTGTCATCCTTTCTCATTATCCCTCCCTCTTGCTGAATGCATTCCTCTGCTCCTTTAACACCCTCTCTCCTCTCCTTACATGCTGATCCTGTCAACCTTTCCACCCCTTTTTAACATCATGTTTGTCCTCCCCTCTCCTCACATCTCTCCTTCCTCCTGCCATTCTGTCTCACTCTTGATGATATAAACACATCATTCTGTCTATGCCTTGATTGCATTACCTGCGGTAACACCGCTCTTAGCTACAGCACCTCTGCCATCTGGAGCTGTTTGTGTATTTTGAGTATGTGGGTACAAGTTTGTCAGTAAAAACACGTATAAAAACGTGCCCTCTACAGTCACAGTGAATGGAAACAGGAGCAGAAAGACTTGCCTCTGAGTGATGATGGAACTGTAGTTACAATACAATGAGCTGTGTGAAGTGGAAAGTTGATACTTTTTAAAGCTGACATGCTGCATCAATTTAGAGATATTCTTTAGACCACCCACTAAAACTATAATCTTAAGCACAGTTTCATAAGGATACATGCTCACGTGGTAATCTTAAGCACAGTTTCATAAGGATATATGCTCACGTGGAACTGTTATGGTTTAGTCCCCCTCACCAGGAGGGTGAGGGAGAACTGGGGTTGGACTCAAGATGGCTGACCCAGGTGCTAGTACAAAAAAGGTGGTTTAATGGAATAAAAACAACATGACAACAAAACAGGGTCCATAATACATACAACAAGGGAAGGGCAGTGATGACTAAGGAGACCAGGACAAACAGGTACACATACACACCAATGGCAGGAATCAGGATAGCAGGAGGATGAGAACGGACAGGTGAATAAAAAGAACTAATGTACACAATGTAATCCACAGCACAGGGACTGTCAGTGTGGAAGACAAAGCACATATTAAAGTATTGCTAACTGCATAATTAGCGTGATAAGGTCAAGCCAAAACGCACAGAGACTGTCAGTGTAGCATCTTACACATGTCTAAAAATGCGGGTCAAACATAAACTTTTAACTTAAAGGGGTAAGTATTGTCCATTACATGTCGCAATGATCCGGCCCAGGCGGAGCGTCTGCCCGAGGTATAAATAAGGAGGAAAACTAATCAGCGGGATGCACCCCAGCTGTGTGCACCGCCAAACGAGTCGCCAATTACCGAGGGCAACCCAGCTGAGGTGCAGAATCCCGCAGATCAAGAAAATAGAGGAGAGAAAGGTGGAGGAGAGGCAGCAGCCGCCGAGCGGCCCTGACAGGAACCATCTCTGGATTTTTGAAAGCACAAATAAGGTCACTAGTGGCACTTTTCAAACACAAATGATGCCATTAGTTTAGAAGGTTTTTTTTAACATTGCAATCACTATGAGTCATGGCGACAATGTCCCAACTGATGTTGAGCTGAGTACATTTATTACATACTGTAACGCCCTCTCTCTCTATCTTTACTTATTATATGTAAGTTCTCTGTTTAATAATGGCTTGAAGTACTCAAATAACCCATCCACTGGGTACAACAAGCAGGTTACACTTTTGAGAATGCACCAGTCAGCCAGAGATCCAGTGTTTAGTCATGCTATTGATAACTTTCTTGTTCTACTGACCCATTATTTTGCTTCAGACTAATTGCAATAACTGTGAGGTCCCCCAGAGGAGGAATCCTTATCACTTTGTTTGTGATTTTGAGTAAAATTCTCAATTGCTCTTTGAAGGATTTCCATTAAAATTGGTACACATATTTATGTCCCTCTCAGGACTTTGGAGATCCCTTCACTTTTTATCTAGTGAAAATTTTTATTAAATACCTGCAAAACAAATGACACTACCAACAGCCTCAACTGTATTTTGTTTAATGCTAATATGCTAAACTAAGATGGTGAACTTTGTAAACAGTATACCTGTGACATATTAACATTGTCAAGCATGGTGGCAAAAGCATGTAACTCAAATCACACCTGTGCTAGCCTCACGGAGCAGTTAGCATGGCTGCAGGCTCAGATCACAAAAGCCTCCAGCTTCAGAATGAAATTCACAGCCTTCTTGTTGTAGGGCAGACTTAACAGCCAGTCCACCATGGCATGCTATCATAAAAATGACAAGGTTAGTAACTGTGATAAAGATGGTAGTAAATGCAATAATCATAATCATAAACTTTATTTTTATGGCACTTGTCTGAAAAGAAAAAGTGCATTCCAAAAATTATTCTTAA